TGGAGCAGATGGTAATATTTACATTTGGATATGGTATTGACATACTTGTACTCAAGATCACCTAAAAACTAACAACCCTAATGATACCAATAACCAGAAAACAGACCACCATGATCTTACATGACTATCTGTACTGATCTAGACTCAGCTCTTGCACTGTAATGATGGCAATGCATGTATAGCGATATACTTGTTTTCATGGTGAAATTATTTTTTTACATGTTCAAATGGATCTCTCAATCAAGAAAGCAGTTTCAGCATTTAGACGTGGTCACTTCAAGTAAATGTTACTGTTTTTTCAAGCCACATATTTAAACCGTAGTCCTCTCAAATTTAAGTCAGCATAAAGAAGTTTGGGATGCACACGTGTATATAATATATCTATATAGCACAGGAATGGTAGATCAGGTAATCATCCACCACCACATCCAATCCTGACTGTTCACTTGCCAGTAATATTTTAAATGTATTAGTTAGGCAATAAGTTATTTCTGTAGTATCGGAGTACTTAATAGTGTACTTTAAGTAATAAATGAAAAGCAAAGTTACCTATCCCATCACCCCCAAAATATTTTTTTCTTATATTTTCTCAAAAACCGCACATGATCCGTTGAAACACAATGCAAACAGATCAAAGCAAACCTGGTCATTCACAAACTCAAATCAGGAAGGAAAACATAATGAAAAGTGAACTATATTAATTACAAACTGGTCAAACCAGAGCATGGACATTTGGAAAGGATGACAGTCCAGAGTCTGCCAGGACAGTCTATCTCGGAAACACACTGGCTTCATCTCATGGGAGTCTTTTTGCCAGATCCATTAGAAGAAATAGAGTCAGACCAGACGTAAGAACAGTCATACAGACTCTATTAGCGGCTGTGCAGCTTTGATTGATGACTATACAAAGCACAATTCTCAGGCATACAGTTGCAATTGCCAGCTTTTCAGTAATGCCCACATGTGTATTACACTATTTTACAAAGCCAGTGGACAGGTGGTGATATTGGCACTATGTCACACTAGATCAACAATTGGTTGGCCCAGTTTAGAAAGCTTCATCTTGGCACCTCTTTCCGACAGAGACCTTGCCAACAGGAGCAAAGTTTCTTCAGGTCATTCCTGCAATGTCCTAAGTGGACACCTCATCCCTGAGAGGAAATAGACGCTATTGGGATTCTCATTCTTTACACAGTCAATAACAAGAAGCATCTGATAAAATGTAAGCAACTCAGACCCAGATGTAAACAGATTAAGGGAGGAAAAAAGCACAGCAAATGCAATTAGAAAATCTCTCAACAATTGCAAAGTAATTAAAATTTAATTTATTAAATGACAATTACAATGAAGAAATGAATGACATCCACTTCTAATGTCAGAGACATAATGCAAAGTGTTGGGATTGACCAGCAGGAGTGTATTCAGTTCTCCATGAACAGAAATAGAAATTGAACAGTGCTGTAACCAAGAAACATGGATTCAGTTCATGATTTTTGATGTGCGCTAAAAATGTAGTAATGCATTTATGCATTAAATCAAATGAGATTCGGTCTAGATATCAAACACACTTTAACTTTAAATGTTAATATATAAAACAATAAAACATGGGGTGAATTTTAAGCAAAAACAAATAGGCTTATATTGGAATATATGCTGTTAAAGTTATTAGAATTTCTTTCTCTGACCTTTAGCTTCAAGTAAGGTTCGCAATTACAAAATAAAATTTATTTTGAGCTGCATTTACATTATCAAAGCCTGCGATTCTTTTCAATAAACATTCTTTGGTAATATTTAGCCGATTAGACTTTTTCCGTAAAATCAAATGCTGTTTGTGAAGGGTTAATTGCCTCACCTGGTTTTGTAATGTGCATCACTCCCTTAATTCAAACACCACACCTTAATCTACATGACTGAAGTTAGCAACAACCATAACTGCAATTATTTCACAACAGCTGAGAAATTATACCCAAGAAAGATGGCGGTAAAACTTCACTCAAATACTTCCTCTTCACATGCAAAACACACACACACACACACACTGCCAGACGTACAGAAAACCTCTTTACGCATGCAAACTGAACAAATAATAAAGATATCCATACATTTAGGGCTGGGCGATATGGCCAAATTATTATCACAATAAAATGTTTTATCAGTCGATATTGATAATAACCATTACAATTAATGGCAAATCTTTATTTCTTTCAAAGTTAGATTTCTGATCTTGAATGAAAGTTGTTGAAACCAGACAGTTACATGTGTTTTTATAATACTTTTTATTGTCAGAAAACTTGCCAAACAGGTCAACATTTCACAAATCTGAGGTAGAATATTCAAAATATTTATAAATGATAAAATTTTTCATCAAAATATGCACGAGTTTACTTGAATAAAATACGTTTTCAGTCTTTTTTCCTTAAAAGAAATATCTTAATAGAAAAAAATATATATATTTCTTAGTTTCCGCAGGTTGATAGTTTGTGTTTCCTGGCTGACTTAGATGACGTGTATCTTCGGCACAGTTTGCAGTGCAGGCTGCAATATTAATAATGTGTTATGTCTCTTAGAAATGCACATTTGACAGTAGCTCGAGTTGGGATACAGATGTATATGTTCATTAACAAACACGCAATGTTCATTAACAGTAAATACGTAAAAGATTTAAACATCATAGGGTAAAATTTGCGTTATTTACATTAACCAATTGTCATCCATTCCATAGTATATCATACATTTAGGCTATAGATCATGATAACCATTGGTAAAAACCATGCATGCATATAGCACCTCATAACATGGTAAAATGTAACTATAGCCAGAATACATTTTACAGATGCACAAATGCTACGGCTACAAAAAATGCTAGAATTATATTCCATTACTCCTTTATACCCGTCTACATAAATATAAAAAAAATTGATGCATCACATTTCTGCCATAATATTACCATGGTGCAGTTCAGGGGTGGACCGGCCATTTGGAGCACCAGGAGTTTTCCCGGTCAGCGAGTAAACGCATCTGCTCTAGTAAGCGGATAAATGGTCCGTGTGGCGCGGTTCAAATGATTAGCGCCTTTTCATTTCGCTTTTGGTCCATAAACAATCAAACTTTTTGCTATAATTATATTGAGGAAAATTGTATTGCGATAATTATCGTTTTATCCCCCAGCCCAAAATCGTTCTTTAACCACCCAAAGAAAAACTACAGAGATATTCTGAAAGCAACGAGAAGCTAGCCTACGGGGGGAAACAAGTTATGTGCACCACTTGCACTGTCAAAACGTGTCATCTGAAAGTAGAACACAGTGCATTACCAGTAGCAATAAACCAAAACGCACACTAAGAGCGTGTACCTTGAATCCAGACATAGTGGAATATGTTCTGCTGCTTTCAACAGGATTATTTTACACTTTCATTCACACATAGCGCTGTGAAAGCCACACTAATGTACGGACCAGGAAGCTAAAAACCCTGGGTATCCAATTTCACAAGGCAAACCAGAATTAAAATCCATCATTGTAGATTTTCAACAACACATAGAGGAAAGAAATGCCAGAGCAATGTCTTACTCCAGACCAGCAATGTCACGCATGATAGTCTCAGTTCATCTGAGGCTATAAAAAATGCTCAGTCACCTTTCACGAGAGATGTATGGGTCAACACTAGTGTTTCCCATTCATAGCAGCAGTCTTGGGGACAAAATTAATAAATAACTATTTGTATTTTTGTTATATTCTAATTGTTTGGATTCCTGAAGGAACAGTGCACTCTAAAAAATGCTGGGCTGTTTTAACCCAATTTTGGGTAAAATAAAATATGGACAAACCCAGCCATTGGGTTACATTTTTAAATTACATTTTTAACCCAATGGCTGGGTTTGTCCATATTTTACCCAAAATTGGGTTAAAACAACCCAGCATTTTTTAGAGTGTGTGAATGTAATGTAGACGTAAAACAAAGCTTGAGTCTACATTAAAGGGGTCATCGGATGCAAAATTCACTTTTAAAATGGTGTTTGCATATAAATGTGTCTTTGCAGTGTGTGGTCACACACAACCACCAAACAATGAAAAAAATCAATTCACTCCTTTTTTTAATCCTAAAAAAGTCAAAACTATCAATCAAGCCATTTGAATTTACTGAGCACTATGATATCATGTTGCTCATGCTCCGCCCACGACCACTGACGGACAGTCCTGTATTAGCATATTTCCGCCCCCATTTGTATACGGTCCGCCAAGGCAGAACTTTACTGTCTTGTGTCGACACGCCCCATTGAAAGAGATGGGTGGGATGAGGAGTTGCTCATTAACATTTAAAGAGCACAGAAACGGTCGCTGTGAACACTTTTGAGGAGGTAAAAGGGTGTTGTTTTACACAACTACTGAAGAATTTTAACCAAAGTATGTTACAAACTTTGTCCAAGGGCAAATTAATGCAACGACTATTTAACTCTGTTCAATTTGGACACTGAAAATGGGTTGGATGATTTAAGTTTAAAACGTACAATGTTGAAAATGTCGACATTAGAGAGGCAAAGGTCAACTTGTGTAATTTACTTATTTAAAATAGTTAAAGCATGTTTTAATTGTCTTCAGCCATGGGGCCTGGACCTACTTACTAGGAGGGCCTCAGCAAACTTCCAACGGCCATGGTATGACTTAAAAGTACTTAATGTATTATATTTACTATTAACAAACTGAAATAACCAACCTTTATTAATGCTGATTTCAAGTCAGAAGTCAAGAGAAAAGCTTGTTCTCTTATCACATTTAATGCAACGACATACAGACATTAATTGTGGCTTGGAGAATGTAAATATTTTTTGGGTGGGGACCACTGTATGTATATAATCCTAATGTAGACAGTTATGACAACCTGCCAGATAGTGAGAGAGTCTTGTTAAATCAAGACAGCTCGAGGTTCATTTTTCATCTGTGTGTCAAACAAGCAGTTGAATTACGAGGCAATCGGACCTGTTCTGCAACACCTCTGACTTACCTTTCCTGTCTTGTGGTCGAACCACACCAGAGCGTGATTCCTGGACAACACCTTGCAGTCGAAGGTGGCGTTATTCTGGGCAGGGCGACACCGAGCCACGGAGCGCCCGATCTTGACCGGCTCATCCAGGTAGACATGGCGTTCCTGAAACGGGTGTGAATTCGGGCGGCAGGTGAACACGGCCAGCGCTGAAGGCATTGAGGATGGCTTGGGAGTGTTACTCCAACCAGAGACGAAAGACAGTGTTTCTTGATCCAGACTGACCTGTTGCTCCAATTCACTTCAATGAATTATCAGGAGAGCAATGCACATAGTAATACGACAAAAATATCAACAATCAAGAAAAGACGAGGCTTTTCTGCTAAACCGGCTACATTACGTCCACAAGCCTGTACTTAGACACTATGTAGTTGATTTCTTGCCCCCTTGCGAGACCCCCATGATGCCGAACCAAACCCAATACAGCTGCTCAATTCCATACAAGTCTGTATTTTCTGATGACAGTCCACTACTCGAGCTGTTACACCTCGTACCCTGCACAATTCATCCTCACCCCCCTTAACAAACATAGGCCTGGCGAATAAACAATCGAGTAACACTAATATCCTAATAACCTGTTGGATCAGTTAACCTGTAACGTTACTCCCCCCAAAAATAACAGTCCATTTGCGTTTCTAGATTAAGACGGCAGTGATTTCTAGATTAGCGGGCACAAAACGCACTAATGTGACTGTTAAACCCTAATGAAGATTATTAATGTGAGTGGGTTTGACTGAAGTATGCAAGACAGACCATCAACCCACCACTCAGCTAAACAGAGCAGGCATTCAGTATGAAAACAAAAGCACAAAGACCTAATTAACCCAACATTAAAATGACAAAATTCAATATTAGGTATTGAAAAACGCTCGCGCGGAGGGTGTTTTCTTGCATACGAGAGCGTTAGCTGGCTAACTTCATATTAGCTCGTTAGCTTCGCTGAGGTAACGGTGGCCCTTTATCTTCTCCTTATCAAGCCGCCCGGACTGAAAGTGACTTTATAAATAATTCCGAGTGGATTTATCCAGTATTGTCTGGTCCGTGGAACTTTCATACGCGGAGAATTTAAGTAAATCCCGTACTAGCTCGCGAGCTCGATAACTAGCTTAGCTCGCTGAGAGACGCGAAAAATTCCCCAGTAAAGAAACTCATCAACGAATAAAGTCCGTGACACGATTCCGCGTTAAGCCATGGAAGTCTCCGGTCCCGGGGACACTGAAAACGAGATGAAAAATCGCTGTGTGAGAGGGGATAATTGGAAGTAAGTCGTCCTCCCGAAGAGATACACACACACATACACCGGCCACAAACCGCCGCGGGGCTCGCGCACCACCGAGAAAGGGGCGTGGGCTCTGTGATGACGGCTTATGGGGGCGGGGCTATTGAATTGCGTTTTCAGTGAAAAAGGATGACGTTTTTCATATGGAATGAAAATAGATGGAGATTATTAAACAATTATTTTTTTTCTGTTTATTTGTTCTATATTGTGATTGTTTTCTTTGAAAATGTTTCAATAAAAAAAAGATATAAAAAAGAGATTGTTAAACAATTATTAAATAACAAAATGTTAAAATACGAATAAATGGCTTGATACGTTTCTTTTTAATGTCACTTATTCCTGAATCAATTTCTGCATTACTTTTCTCACTTTATTTATTATTTTCTGCATTTATTATTTTTTTAATTTGTTATTGTTTCATTTATTATGTATTTGATTTTTGTATTCATTTCAAAGCGTTTCTTTATTTTTTATATTTATTACATTTTATTATTCTTATCTATTTTATTATTATTATTATTCCGTATTTATTTGGATTCTATTATTATATTTATTTCCACGTCGATTTATTTATTTATTTAAACATTATTTATTTATTTTTGTATTACATTTCTGTCTCCATATTAGATGCTCGTATTAAAATGATCACAACCTTTATGAATGTTAGGTCAATTCTAAACTGTCTTTGTGAGGTGCATCAGAATGCCTTTTAAAATCAGCACCGAATGAGTCCATTTGGTCCAACATATTAATTAAAAAAAGTAAACATATGGCAAACTGAGGAGTGTTAACCAAATATAAAACAGACAGTTCAAAATAAACGCATATACTGACGAAATATTTTTCTTGCACCAGGCTCCCAGTAAAAGTAAAGTTATTTTTGGAGTTCAAAATCAACCGAAAGTATTTTTGTTTCAGAAAGGAGGAGAGGGTTTCAAAGCTAACCCCGCCCCCAGTCCCTCTGTTTGGATCTGGAATCTGTGGACTAAATTACACTGAACATCTGTCATTCCAAATAGAGCATGCTGATTTGACTGGAATGTCTTGCTAAGGCTAATCCAATTGCTTTGTCTTGGTTCTTATGTAACCCATAAGAAGTAATTAAGTGATCACTGGAACATATGGAAACAATGGTGTGTGTTTCAATGATGCAAATGAGACATTTAGATGTTAAAGTGTAATAGTTAAAGTAAAGCCACAATATTAACTACATAACTAAAAAAAAATTACTCTCTGCAAGTGTCCAAAAATATATATGTCTTCAACCATATTTAAGCCCAAAATTAAACCATTTTGACATAAAAATTATTGCATTATGTAAAAATTATGTATTTATAAATGCAAAGATTGAATTATGAGAGAATTAAAATAAAAATAAAAATCACAGCTGCATGAACTTTCTATGCTTTCTGTCCGAATAAATAATAATAATAATAATACATTTTGTTTATAGATGCCTTTCACTCAAGGTCACCTTACAAATCTTCCTAAAAACATCAGCATAACATTAGACAAAGCAAACTATAATATTAATACACAAGAACAAGATATTGCTCAATACGAGTAATAATAAATAAGACTGTTTAAATAATTAAGAGTTATAACATATTTTTTATTCAATACCACAATAACAATTAAGGGCAAAAAATACATACATTTCAGTGCTTTAATTTTCAGAACTCCAAAAAGATTTATGTAGTATAATTTTAAGTCATTTTGGTGTTTGCAAATGTGGTTTGCAAAGAGACGACTTCTTTTTATGATGTTTTTCTAATACAATTAATTATTTGCGCAATGTAAATCGTAAAAAATCGCAATCGTAAAAAAAGGACATCAAATACACATATCATACTGCGTGCGCGCTCCCGTACAGCTCTTGAGCTCACTCCTGACGCCAGCACGCTCTCCCCGCAAGCTCCGCCCCTTTCATCCTGGACGTGTTTGTATTTACAGCTCAAGTTCCTGTAGTTTTCATCATTAAATCAAGTCCGAACCCACCTGAGGGTATCACCATGGCCTTTCAGGGGTCTGGGGAACTGGAAGATCAGCTCGAGGAGCCAGAAGACACGCTGAGAGTTTCTCCGGCCGAGGAAATGCCCGTCGATGGGCCTCCAGCACTAGAGGAGCCGGAGCAGTTACTGCTGCCGTGGGATCGCTTCTCCTCCTGGCTTCACTGCATCTGTGTGGTCGGCTTCGATCTGGAGCTCGGGCAAGCTGTGGAGGTACAGAAAACTGTCATACTAGTGCTGTCTGTTCTGCTGTCAGCTGTGAGTTAGCCTGCTAGCCGGCTAACTGTGTGGAAGTCAATGGAAAAACTTGCTAGCATGTGTGGCTATTGCTAACAAAAATAGTTGAGTCATCAAAAAGTACATATATATGGATGCTGAACCAGTGTAAGCAGTTCATTGGTATGATTTGGGTTAATACGTCTGAAAGGTTTCAGTAGCTTTGACACATTGGTGCATTAAACATATTCTCGTTTATTTGTGCCATTTCCTGATGTAATAATCTGATGTCTGTGCACATTATGCGTGTAGTTTGGGTTTATCAGGACTGTTATCTGTCCTGATTACTGTTCAGTGTGTTGATCTAATCATCTGTTGTCTGAACTTAGGCACTTAGATACTTAGAATAAAAAAACAGCAACTACTGAATTCCAAACTGAATAAGATCATTATAGCTCGGTTTCACAACAACAACAACAACATATTAAACCAAAGTAAAGCCAACTGTAAAAGGTGATTTTAGTGTTTAGTGTCTCAATGTCACTGTCAGAAAAAAAGGTACGAAAGCTGTCACTGGGGTGGTACCTTTTCAAAAGGTACACTTTTGTACCTAAAGGGTGCATATTGGTACCTTCATGGTACATATTTGTACAATTATGGTACCAATATGCACCCTTTAGGTACAAAAGTGTACCTTTTGAAAAGGTACCGCCCCAGTGACAGCTTTCGTACCTTTTTTTCTGACAGCTCGAAAGGCATCAACAATAATAATAATAACAACTACTACTATGTCCCATTTATGCATATGTTAGTGAAATGCAGTTTTAAAAATACATGATCTCATTTTCCATGTTGTTTTTTCTACTGCAGGTGATCTACCCACACCACTCAAAACTCACCGAAAAAGAGGTAGGAAAGATTTATGTTTTATATTATCAAGCTGGATAAAACCATTAATTAGTCGATATTGAGTGTTCTTTTGTTTCTCTCGTTTTAGAAAACAAGTATATGCTATCTGTCATTCCCAGACTCCAATTCAGGTAAAATTGCTTTTCTTCACGCGTCTGCTGTAAACAATGCAGATTTGATGCACAGATGTCGTCACCTGTAGATTTGAACATGCATAAGTTGAACATCATAAACTTTTACCTCTGGTTTCACAGAATGCTTAAGCCTAGTCCTAGACTACAATGCATATTTGTGGTTTTAACTAAAAATATGTCAGTGTCATATTTTTTGTCTCAAGATGCACGCCAGTCTTTTTTTCTTAGGCACATTTATAAAAGCTACTTAAATGTCCTAATTAAACTAGGGCCTAGGCTTAATCTAAGCCCTGTCTGTGAAACCAGGCCTTAATGTTTTGACTATGAAACGTTCAGTAGATCGCACAATCAATCACTTTCCATACTGTATTTGAGTCTGTCTTGAGCTCAAAGTGTCTGTGTTGTGGTTAAGCAGTGCAGAATGTGTGTAGTGTGTTTTCCTACGTTAAGGTTTGATCTAGAGGATTGTAATTCATCTGAGTGAGTACTATGACCCACTAATGTGTGTGGGATGAGACCTCGACATCCTCTCTCTCCAGCAAGCGCATTCATATGCAGAAATGAACTCACAGCGTGGGTTGTGAAATGCTATCTGACTGTTCTGTATTAGCAATATTAATGAACCGTCACTTGGTAGGTCAATATGTGCATTTGTAATAGATACTCTGGAACAGTATATTTTCTGCTGTTCACTGTTGTATCTGAGTAAGGTCAATATTAAGGAATCGCCCTGTTGATTTTGAGCTGAGATTCTTTGGATGCTCCTCACATCTTATGTTGTTCTTTTAAAAGTCCCACTTATGTTTTTATTTTATTCTAAAATAATTGTATCATTGTCCTTGTGGAACATCTTTAAAAACATCTTGCAATTTTTAAAAAATATAATTTTCATCCAAAAAATTCTTCTTTGGACATTAAAAGAAGAAATGTTGAACGCTTTTTTCCCATGCATAATCAGTTTTGAGAGATGCAACATTAAAATTTATGTCAAACGTGGCATGATGCATCTTCGCGCTGTATATTTGAATATATATGTGATTTTGAGTAATGAATAAATGAAGACATAATGTTATTTCTAGATGAATTTATCCTTTAAAACTCATTGGCCGGAGCAAATTATTATTATTTAAAAAAAAAAAAAAAATGTTTTTACATTGACAACTGTGCTTATCTCTAGCAGAACTCCTCAGCATTGGTCAATATTGTAAATAGAGCGGCCGGTCGGTGTTGTTTTCCACAGTATCGGCTGTGATAAAAATGACATCTCTGATCTTCTTCACACAGATTCAGCTCGTGTTAATTTAGTTTGAAATAAACTTGGGTTATTAATAGCGATGAGGCTCAAACAGGGAGGAACAGGATTTGAAGATTACAGGACAGTCCGGTTAATGACTTTGTAAACACGCAGACGCTTTTACTCTGGGGGTGTGTGTTTGTGGAGTTCACTTTCTAGTGAGTCTCCTAGTGAGACATTGATCTTGTTCTCGTTTTTCTGAAACTGGAGATCCCGATGATACCCTATCCCATCATTCTACTCACTTCAGCTCGCGTACTATACGCTATCTTACAGGATGTAGCATGTCTTGTTGTCTTGATCATATTTTACAAGCTAGTTATATGATAGTTCCAGCGCTGAAAATCTGTGCGGATGAGCAACATTTAAAGATTGTGGTGCTCTGTGATTTATTTTTATCGTTTAATATGCATGTATTTAAATATATTAATACTGGTGTCATTTATCATATTACTTGCACATACAATGATTTTACCATTGATATCACCAAGTACACTGGC